TCTGGGAGGTAGGTTTGTTTGTAGCCAAAAGAACAATCTAGTCTGTGTTTCTGCTCCTGTACAGCTAAGCCACCTCTTCTCTACTGGTGTATTTTTAACCTTTCGCTGGGCTAAGCTGCCGGAAAACAAGTGTTGCTGGGCACTACGGGAAGGCAGCTTGAGAACTGCCTTGGGATTTCTGGATCAGTTGCTTCTAATCTTGAGATCCTGAAATACCTTGCTTCACAAAGTGGTGGGGAGAGCTATGAGTCCAGGAATCAGGGCTTTCCTGTTTATGATATTTAATCCATCTCAGAAATGGCCTGGGTTTACTTACTTTGAGAAAATGTTGCTCGCTTGCCTGCTCCTGAGTTGTCTTGCCTTCCATCTGGAAAATTCCGTCAACCTGTTATGAAGGAGTCTCCATCGGAGGAACCCTGGAGCCATGGACCCAAGGCATGGCCTTACGTTTCCTGATGCCATTCATCTCTCAACCCTCAGCTGACCTGGGCCAGGTACTTGGATGGGAGACCACCTGGAGATGAGCTCCGAGCTCTCTGAAGAAAAGGAAAGCTAGAAATAAAGCTGAGGCATCCAGATGGACAGGGCTTCTCTACATCCTTGGGTAGAAGAAGAAATGTTACAAGCACAGCTAGGAATGAGAGAAGTTGCACTTGTAGATAGTCCCTTTAGTATGCAACAATATTTTAATGAAATGTGATAAAGATGTAAGATTGAAGGGCCCTAAAAGTAACAACCAGAGAGTCAGTGGCTTCCTTTGACCTTATTGCTGAATGTTGGGTAGATGCACCATAAATCTCTCATCCATTATTGGACTGTGGAGGAGGAGGCTGGCTTGGTATGCAGAGCTAATTGGATAGGTGGGTTAGGAAGAAGGGTTTGCCTCTCCTAGCTGTGCCCCTCTGGATCATTTGTTTGACACCCGTGTAGTTTTGATGGTCAGGAAGAGGCATCACTGTGGTCTGCAGGCTTTCCTTTCCAGGCGAGTGCCAACCTGCAGTGTTTGCACCTTGTACTGGGCAAGGAGGACAAACTGGGAATGCTGCTGGTGTGCACTCTGCTCCTCCACTTGCCAAGAAAAGGGTGCGTTTTCCCTGAACAATTACTGGTTGATTTTTGAGAACATAAAGACAGGGAAATACATGTACAAATGAGAACAGTGGCTGTGCTGAGTGGAAACGGGGATCTTTCTGAAAGATAACAAAATAGAGAATTGCAGATAGCTGAGGTAACACTACGCACTGTTTCTGAAATTGCCCTCAAGCAATCCTGGAAAGAAACCAACCTGCTCCCACTTTTTTCCCTTATGTTTGTTTACTTGCTTGGCAGCAGCACAGCATCTTGTGGAGGTTAAGCGTTTTAATCAGAGGTGCTGTTTGCTTTGTGCTTGGGGAGCCTCTGTAAATCAAATTGCGAGAATTGATGCTGGAAGATTGGAAAGCTGTCCCAATCCTGCCTGAACTGGTGCAGCGATGGGCACCATGCAGAAGGAGTGTCCCTGCAGCCCTTTTCTGCGTGTGCGGCCTCTTTGCTTGTGTGATGCCCAGGGCTGGTACAGTTCCTTCTGACTTGAGCACTGCCTGTTACCCAGTGAAAACTGGCAGAAATGCATCTAGTTTAATTTGTAAGTTGAGGTGCTCTCCCTTTCCTTCCCTCTACCCTGAAAATTATGTAATATGGAGTCATGTAGCACTATGTTATGTGGAATGTGGAAAACTTCACTTTGATTTTAATGGACAGCTTTCCTGGTAGCCACTTTGTGGTGTGGCCCTTATATAAGTCTTAATGCATTTGTTAGCAGAGAGGGAGAGAGCAATTAAGAAGGGGCCATTGCCAGGCCTGGAGCCGTGTGGGGAATTGCTACGGAAGTGTTGTTACTTCTGATTCTCCACAGAAGGCTGCCAGATCCCATCTAATGCTATGACAGCAACTGCCACTAATCTCATGCTGGGCCCTGATTAGAGCTAGGCAGGCCAATGTCCCTCCCATTGTATTATCTGGCTTGTTTTCCTCATGGTTCATTCCCACAATTTGCCTGTTTCAGAATGGGCTTGTATGCTTCCTTTTTCCGCACTGCCCACTTCTCTGAAGAGCTCTTTGGGATTTGTGACCTTCTGAAAGAAGTCAAGAGGTGGCAGAACGGTTTGGGGGGGAGGTGACAAAGGCAGGGCTGATAGGAGGTGGCCTGTCCAAGAGAAAGTTTGCCTAACAATAAACATTCCTCTGCATGTAAGTGCGTCTTGTTTCTAGTGTGGTGGTTCTCAAGAACTGCTTTTGTTTTTGCAGATGGCTTGACAATTGTGGTGGGTGGATCTTGGCAAGGCCTCTTAATAGTCCCTCCACCTCCATAAATCAAAGCACTTGCCTAACGCATGTTTTAAGGACCTTTAGGATTGTCTTTCCAATGTGATGAATGTGCCTGTGTTTGAGAGCAAAGTCCTGTGAAGTGAGATAAAAGGTTTGCCAGTTTCAGCATCCATCTGCTTCCACGCTGCCAGTGTAAGGGCTGTTAACCTTTATGTGGCCCACCAGTTGAAGAATTTCTGAAAAAGCACAGTTGAGGAACCGCTGTCCTACTGTGCGCACTTTCTACCTTCATGCATATGAGCATTAAGGCAGCATGTGGTGCACAGCCTGCCATTTTAGCCCCTACGCATCAGATTCGCTTGGAACTGATCATCATCTCTTTTAGGAATGCTGTATTTTTCTGTTGAATTTTTAACCAAAGCAATTAAACGCTCTCCTTGCTATTGCATCAACACAGGGCAGGCTGTTGCAGATACAAGCAGGTTGGGGAGAAATTTTTGGAGAGTGTGCAGGATAAAAATAGGCAGACTTATGTGTGCCCCATTTCCTCCTGGAAAGAGCCCATATAAGAAAAGAGGTGATGGGCTCTTCCCCACTAGACACATTCAAGATGCAGCTGGATAGCCACCTGTTAGGGATTCTGTGACCTGCAGTCTTGTGTTGAAGAGGGAATTGGACCTGATGGCTTTCCTGGCCCCTTTTGGTTCTGTTATGCTATGATTCTATCTAAGACAATTGCATGTCAGAATATGTCTGGAGTGGCTCAATCGGAAGGAAGGCTCAAAGTCACTCTGGTTATGGTTGGGCTGCAAATTGGCCAAATGTGTACCTTGCATGGATGTCCCCAGAGGATCCACATTTGTAGAGCTGTAGGTGCCACACTTTTAGTTGAAGATAGCCAACTTCTGGCATTATTTCCTTCTGCTGTCCTGTGTGATAGCATAAAACATGAGTTCTTGGGAAGCTATTAGATTTTTAGTGGATAGACTTTCAGCGTTCCCAACTTGGACTGCAATTCCCATAATTCCCAGCCAGCATGCCCATGGTCATCCAGCAGATCTGGAGAGCACCTGGCTGGGGAAGGCTCCTTTGGCTCACAGCTGCGCAGCTCTGTAGAATGCCCTGTTCATGAAAACTTGTAGCCTCTCTCCTTTCTGGTAGGCCACCAGTTTTCTACTCCTGTAGTCACCTTTAATAAACAGGGATTGTGGTGCCATTTGGATCGCAGTGAAGGCCAGTTCCGTGGGCTGCTGCCCCTTTTTGCAAATATGAGCTTGTAGCAGCTGCTGTTGCCACCATTTTTTAAAGTATGCACTCCTCCGCTGTCTTTAAGAATAGCATCCTTTGCAACTCTTGGCAGATGCTAATCTCAATGGAGTGGAAGACATCACTGGTACACCTCAGCTGCTGTTGTTGAGTGGTTCCTATTTTCTTTCTCTCCTTTTCCAGTCCTTGGCTAATTTTGAGTGTGATGCGGCTGCATCTTGCAGTTGATTAAATGCTGCAGTCGGAACACCGGTGTGCCAGTAGTGAGGGGGAGGGAGAGAAGAGGCTGCGACAGATGATTCCTTGGCCTGCCGGAGATGCCTGCTGGCTGTACATGGGCACAGGCCCACAACTCAAGAGATGTGGTCTCTGATTTAGTTTTCATGTCTGGAGAGTTTTTAAATAGAATTATGGAACTAGAAGGGACCTTGAAAATCACCTACTGCAGCCCTTCTGGGCCAGCTGACCTCCAAGGGTGTGGGATTGCTGTTCCTATCAGTAGTGACCGCCATGGCCAGTGTCAGGAATGCAGTTGTGGCCCAAAGGCATCTGAGGGGCAAGCTGTAGCTAAAGGATCCTTGACAGGATTTTAACAGCTGCACTAGCTTTTCCTAAACTCCTGAGGATGTGTGGGACCACAGCACCCATAATCTTCAGGCGGCAAGTCTTGACCCTGCTGGCTGGGGGTGGTGGGAGCCGTACTTCACACACTTGAAGGCCACTGGTGGAAGGGAATTACACTGTAGTCCTTGATGAAAATTGCCTGAATTTTAAATGTGGCTCAGATCCTTGCTGGCCTTTATGGATCGAACTGTTTGCCAACACAGAAGCACAGAAGCAGAAGCACAGAAGAAGCTAGAAAGGTTAAATTGAGTTTGCTTTGCTGACATTAAAAAAAAAGTAACACATTTTATTGCTGAAGTTATTGGCTCAAGGATTTCTAGAAGGTGTTTCTTTAAAAATGTAAACAGGATGTGCTTTTAACAAAGGGCTGGTTGGTGCTGCACATTGTGTGAGTAATAACACACATGTGTTTACACACACACACACACACACACACACACACACACAACTGACAGCCAGGGCTGTGAATTGCCTCCATTGTGAAGAAAAATTGCATTTCAAGTGCCATCCAATGATACTGATATTCCTGTGTTCTAGTAGTGCCCTGCAGGTATGAATTAGTCTCCAGTTGCCTTTTTGCTTTTTCTTTTTAAAACCACTTTGGTTGCAGCCACATCTGGTACCTTTAGGGTTATGATTAAATAGATTGAAACCTGGGCATTGAATGTGATTTGCTGCCATCTGGTACAGTTTGCTCCAGCCGTCAACTGATTTCTAATGGTGCAGTTTATAATAAGCATTTCATAGAAATGATAGAGGGTGAAGGCTGAATGTAACATTGCTGTTGTCTTTTTTCCCCTCAGGATAGAATAATCAACTTAGCTGTTGGCAGCGTAACATCCTTGCTGCTTCTAGTAAGTATTCAACTTATTTTGGAACATTCAAGCCCGAGACTCCAATCATGGTTTGAAAGAATGCTCTTGCTGAGTAGGACCAAGCTGTACCTGCTTGTACCTGCAAGAAAATGTTGCAGACTATTTTCACCTCCTACAGGGTGAATATTCTCACCTCTTCAGGGTTTCACCCAACCAGCCATGCTTTCTGGCATGCTGGAGGGGGATGAAGGTGGGTCATCCCCCCCCACCCCGTTACCCATTTTTCTTTCAAATGCATGGGAAACTTTCTAGGCTTGATCCTCTTGGAACTTTTTTGAAGTTGGCTTCCTCCACTTGATTTCTTCTTAATTACTTCTGTCACCATCTTATTAGAATGCTGATAGCATGTGTTTTTTGCTCAGTGGCTCCTATTTGGTTTCAGTCCTGTCTGCATTCACTACCTCTTAGCTGTTAGAGAGAATGATGTTGTTGTCTTCATACATTGAGGTATCAGGACTAAGTTCATCTCTGTGCATTCTCAAGGCAATGCAACAGCAAACACAGGTGGTGAGGGCAGAAAGAAATGCAGAAAAATTGGGGCTATAAGAAACAAGAGGGACCCCTGAGGTTTGCAGAAGTAACCCCCTTCCTAGAGCCAGGTGAGGGCCGAGCATGTCCAGTAGCCACAAACGGGCATGGAGGAAGGCATTGGAGTCTCCTGGGGGACACAGCAGGTTGACTTTGTGAACAGAAGCAGTACCGTTAGGAGGTGAAGACACCCTGCAACATTTGGCTGATGGTTCCGCTCGTCCTTCTTAAAAACCCATATAAGCAACCAGCATCACCACATCTTGTGGTAGTGAAATTCCTTAAATCGATTATCACTTGTGTAGAGGAGATCCTGGTCAGGGCAGAATCTGTTGCTTGGAAAATGAACCTAGGAAACTGCTTTCTGCTGACTCTGACCATTGCTCCATCCAACCTAGAGCTACTTATTATGACTGGTGACAGCAGTCTCTGGTCTTGGACAGAGGCCTTTGAGAATCTTTAAATGGAAATACTAGTGGCAGGCTTGAATTCTAGTATTAGAAGGGGGAAAAGCCTCCTTCCCCAAACTTACATATGTCCTTAAGATAAGTGGTTCCACCTCTTTGTCTTTTGCAGCTGCCTTTTGTAAATCACAAAGCTTCCACTAACATAAGGTTCACCTTAACTCTACCTGTCTGCATGTGCTTTTATATGCAGCATCCTTGTTTAACTTCGGTGCAAGAGTGTGGAGGAAAAAAATCCACTGAAATGTTAAGCAGCTTCTGGCTTGTAAAAAATTAAAGTAAATGTACTTTAAAATCTCTGCTTTGAGAGTTTGTTAAATGAGCTAGATGCTCCGAAATTGTGTGCTAAATCCATGATTTTCCAGGGAGTCTGGCTTGTAAGCAGAAGGGTCTTGACATTGTCTGATCATGAGAAATATTCAAATATTTGATGGTGGGTCTGGTCCAGCAACTGCAGCTAAGTTGCACTGTTATATTTGGTTTCAAAAAATACTAGCTTTTGAACTATTAAGTATGCATTTGGTTCTAAACAACCATTCCCATAGTTGTTTGTGGTAAGAATAGTTTCCAAGAGAACTGGCCTGAAAGCCTTAGAAAAGCATAAACACATGCCTGCTTTTGGAAACTTTGGAAGGCTGTATTTATGGGATGTGCATTGGATGTTTGGAGGAGAAAGATGTAACACAAATTGAATTAAGCCTGAGTATTTAGGCTTCATTTTATAATGTGTCTCTTAAAGAAGTGAGAATCTTCTGATCATAGAAGCCACTCTGCTGGAATGAACCGTAACTGTGGAAAAACAATGCCATGAAGTTGATTGGAGCAACATTCCTGCTGATCTGGACTCTTAAGTTAGAAAGCATGGTGGAGAAAGAATATTTAATCTTGTGAAGTAAGAATAACAGTTATGTATATACTTTCTGTGTGAAGCTAATGCCTGTATTCTTGTTCTTTTTCCCTATAGGTCACTCTAATCAGTGCTTTTTTCTTTCCTCAACTACCTCCAAAACCGGTGAATATATTTTTTGCTTTCTGCATCTCCTTGTGTAGTGTTTCAGCTGGCATTCTTGTAAGTATCACTACACTTACTTGTGTGATAAGATTAAATTACTCCTGCTCATATTGAGGGTAGAGTAGTATAGTGTTTTGGAGAATAGGGAATAAGGACTTAATTCCATAAAGGTTTACTATATAGTAGATTTCATGGTTAACAGGTATGCATTCTAAGCCAGCATGGAACTCAAATTTAGAATGTTAGTTCCTTAATTCCAAAATTTCCAGTTTTCCTTGGGGAAAAAGGTGTAGTTCTAGAAATCTTGAATGGGCATGTTTAAAGAGGTATTGCAAAGATAAAAGAGGAAAAGCCTTCTGCACATGAGCTGTCCCTCCCCTTTAGATGGGGAAGGAGGAAGGGTGAAAGTGGGTGCCCCTTATCACCTCTGGCCCTGTCAGCATGCAGCCTGCAGCGGAAAAATTCTCACCTCCTGATCTGCGGCATGATTTATTAGAAAGTTATGCTAGTGCAATCTCCCAGTGAAACCATGAGAGCTGCATTGGATTAATGCAGAAATCCTTGGGACAATGCAGGTAAAATGCCAGTGTTGAGTAGTGTGGTTATGTGATTGCAATAGAGGCAAATCAGTTGTCAGTATCTATCCAGTTCGTGAAAGACAGTATTTTTGTGAAGAATGTAAAACACTCTTGGAAAATTAAAAAATTACTTACTACCTGTCTCAACTATATGCAGGAAGTAGAGCATTTGAGCATAATAGTACAAGCTGAAGTCTGTTCAGGTATGGGAACTGCTCATTCATGCTTAGTTCTGTCATGGTATTGTTGGAAATGGTTGGATGGGAAGGTCCTCTCTATCCAGTCATCGAAGAAGGAAGGCAACATGTACCTTCCAGATAGTTTGGACTTCAGCTTCCATCAGCTCCGGACAGCATAGCCAATATTTAGGGATGCTGGGAGCTTGTAATTCAAGGTGAAGCCAGGCCAGCATGTTTACTGCTTTCAGCAATAAGGCATGTGAAAATAACTATGGTAGCAAAAGTAGTTGCGATTCTGCATCAATTGTTATCTAACACAGCTGGGCTTTTCTTTTTCTCCCTAGATTTACTGGTATCGACAAGGAGACCTTGAACCTAAATTTAGGAATCTAATTTACTACATATTGTTTTCAATTATTATGTTATGTATATGTGCCAATCTCTACTTCCATGAAGTGGGGAAATGACTGTCATAGGGCATACCCTTGAAGACATAAAGTTGTTCCAGGATGCCATGGTAGAAAGTGCTCTCAGGACATATACCTGACCCCAAATGGAGAAAGATTCATCAGCGGAAGTGGCAGAGGGGAACCTGAGTTTTCAGGCAAATTATATTTGACTGGTCTTTCCTTGTGGCTGCTGTCATGACATAACATCTCTGCTTCTTGGGGGAAAACAGGTACTAGGGCACTTAATGAACATTCCAACCTTGTACATGTGTCTCAGAATAGCACGAGCTTTTTCCTTTTGGGAAAAAATTGCATTTTTATTACACTGTACAAAAACTGCAGCACTGCAAATGTCTGTACTTCAGTATAAATAAAAGGCATTCTACTGTTACAGAAGACAAGGGTTCTCACTTGTATTAAACTGAACACAGTTATTTCTGTTCCCTTCCTAAGCAACCAACTGTTCTGTTAACTACAACTTCATTTTCACATAAAGCCACAGACTGAAGACAAGCTAATGTCTGAGGAAGCTAATTACAGCAATAAATATTGGGTTTTTGTGTTTTTTACATATCCTTGTAGTATTGAATCAGCTTTCCCTCTCAGGCTATACTCTAAGCTCAGCTTAGTATCTTTTACAGCCCTTCCACAGGAGACGGAACGTAAATGCATTGCTGAGCTCATTCTGTAAAGGTGTGGTCCAGACTGTACTACCCTTGGCCTCATCCAGCTGAATTATAGCTATCTCTGAAGATGCTCTTCCTCCTATAATAGAGATCTGGATAAAAGTTGGAAGGATTTTGCATTTAAACTTGCATTAAGTTTATTGCAGGGGGGGTTCTTTTATCCTCTTCTTTCTCTTGCACTTGCTGTTGTAGTGACAGCTACAGAGGTTGAAGAATGACATCTGGTCATTCTACGGCTACATCCATTGCCAGCAATAGATTCTTTAGCAACCACCAAGGTCAGGTGCGATTCTAGCAGCATTTTATGCTCTGAGGACACTAGAAGTAACACTGTTAGAAAACAAACTTTTTCTAATGCTACTCCTTGCTTTCTATAGTTACTGCTGTAGAACTATATTTTGTCCCGAGACAGGCTGATCAATGCGCAGGAAGAATTCCTTTCTTTAGTGAGCTCACTCTTGTTACTGCACTATATAGGCGTAAAAGAGTGAAGGAACTCCCTCACTGGCAGATTCAGTCTCTAAGCAGTCAAGTTCAGGGATCAGCACCTCCTGTGAAATACTAAAACCTTGGCTTTGAGCAGGTGCAGGTGTAACCCCTTTAAAGCATGAAATCAACATGCTTCTGTGGCCAGCAAATGCTTCACTTGAAGTGGTGATTCAGAGGTTACGGACAGCTGTTTCACGACACAAATATGTGCCTCATGAGACCATGCGGCGTGATTAGTGGCAGGTTACTAAATCTTCCACATCCTTTGAGTCTTCAGAACCAGGACTGTCCAGAGAGGAGCCAATAATATGGGAATTTTCTCCATGGTGTTGCAATATAGGATCTGAAATGGAGATTTACATTAAATGATGCAGAAATTCCAAACAAGCTGGTGTATTTTGATCCATTTGTATTAATAATTGTTTCTTAGGTAGTATAACAAAATGGCCAAGTGCAACAACTCTTAAGATGGGAAATCCACTGTTAATTTCTTTTGCTTGGGTAGGACTTGGTAAACAGGGCTAGAAATCTTAGCTGCTTTCCATTTCCAGGACTATTTTGCTCAGTGTATCTCTCAGTCTGAAAATGGCATCACCCACAGTTCTCAGACACTCATCAAAGAAGGACCACAGAAAAGAGTTATTAAATGTTTTAGGTCTCCATCATTTTAAAAATAATGCCTCCTATGTGGGCAAATGGATCAGACCTCTACTTGGCCAAATTGTAGGACAACAAAGTTTTATCAGGCAGTCAGCTTCCAGTAAGGATAGGAAGAATTAGAACACACACGTTAATATAATTGGCGGTGGCTCTCAGGGAATGAGCCTACCTGGTTGTGGGGCTCCAGCCCTGCAACTGGTATCAACACAGCATGTGTTTTGGTACTGGCTTTAAACCTACTGATCAAAGGATTTTAGTTGGGTTTTACTATGCTAGCCGCCTTTGTTTTATTTTGTTTTGATGCTTTTATTATTTAAATTATGTCTACACTGTCTTGGTATCTGAGGGTGAAGGGTGGTTTTAAAAGGCTTCATTAATAAGTAAATTTAAATCCATCTTAGACAGGCCCAGCAAGGGAAAAGATGCAACTACTCATTTGCTCTGTGCTAGCTCAGCATTACATGGACATACAGAAAGCATACAAGCCCAAACTTAGGTTGGCTTGTCTCCAGTAACACAGCTGTGCTGTGGGAAACCTGTCACCTTCCAGAGGTTACTGAAGTTTCCATTATTTCTAATCATTTACCATGTTGGTTGGGGATGTCAGGAGTTGGGAGTCAATACCACAAGAGAAAGCCATGACAAGTCAGCTCTATGCATGGGATGGGAAAAAAATAGGATCCTATCAGTAGAAATGAAATGGATCAAGAATATCGTAAACTGCATTCCCCTCTTGAGCCTTTTTTTTTTAGAAAGAACACGAACATGCTCAGGTTCACCAGTTACCTGTTAGTGTTGTTAGAGGCAAGACCGATTCACTGTCTATATCATCTGATGTCTGAATAAAGCCGCGTGGAGAAGGTACAATGAGAACTGTTTCATCCATAGTGGACTGTTCAACTTGCTCTTCTGTTGTTGGAGAACTGAGATCCTTTATGGACAAAACAAACAGCTTTTTCTAACTGGGTGGACACAATAGTACTTTTAAAGGGACTATAGTAGTAAAAATATACGCTGGCTTGCTCAAACTACTAGGAGTAGAAGATGGAAATGTATTCACAGCTATGGGGTTTGCCTCCCAGTAGCCAAGTCCATCAAAGCCATGCAAAATATGGCAGTGCAGCTATTGGATAATGTCCTTTCAATTAGAAAGAAGCAAACAGAAGCTCTCCCAGCGCATGCCACATTTTCCCCCTATGAACAGAATTTGTCAGGGCTCAGACAGGGTCCCACATGATTTATAATATGGTCTCAACTGGTACTGGGGCATAAGTGAAGCTCCTGTCCCAAGCCTTACCAAAAATCTTTCTCCTTCTGCCATTGTCCTAATAAAAACCAATCATTCATGAAAGGAGGCAATCTCTGCTTGCTTTACATTGGAGTGCCTAATTACACTAGACTTTTAACAACCAAATCAGGGTAGAGCAACAGGATCATGACAGAGTGAACTTTTAGCAAAGGAGGCACACACTCAGTGGGGAGCTGCAACCAGTTGTGTGTTACACACACAATGCACATTCGTCATCTCCACTGTTAAATTTTTTCAGATGTATGTAAAGCATATAATGCCTGAAGTGGCAATTGGTCAACCTCTAAATGCAAACATTAGAAGTCTTTCAAATAAATACATTATAATAAAAGAGGCCATGTGCTTCTCTAAGAACCTCAGCTATGGGGGGGTGGGGGGATACAAATGAAATGAATTTGTCTCTTGGCATCATTGTACTGAGATCATGAACTCTAGAAAATGGGCATGCCTACTAAGGGATCTTGGGAGTGTTTTATTTTTAAAATGTGTTAATTGAAAAAGTCCACTTGGCTGAAGCCTACAGCAACATCTTCAGTTACTAGGGCCAGACTTCCACAAACAGCACATTGCTTTGTAGTCCATAGTTTGAAACCAGGAGAGATTGCTAGGCTGAGGGGCAAAGTTACATGCCTGCCCGCTTCCCACTGTCATGAGGCAGTGTGTCTTCAGGAGGATGGTGTGGAGAGACCTCTTCCTTCCTGAGGGGCCTATATGGATGCACAGTAGCAGGGGCCATGTCTAAGCATGTGTTTGCTCAGGGTGGGCACAGTGGTCCCATTTGCATTTAAGTGGTAAATTAAGAGTTAATTATCCCATGAGTTGCTGCACTATGTCCTGGACAGGTATGAAGGCCATTTTGCATATTCAGCTTCCAGTAGGGCCAACTGGAGTTTGCAATGCATCAACCAACCCAGATGCTATAAGCTAACTGTGGGTTGTAGGTATAATTAACCCACATTTTGCTCTTATTATCCATGAATGGGGTTGATGTGTGCAAATCTGACCACTGTGCAGGTGTGCATGAGGCTTTGCTGTATCAAACTAAAGGGGTTTCCAACCTGTGCCAAGCTGGGTCCAATCACTAGTAATAAATAAAAGCAGCAGAAGTAACAAGCTGGTGTTGTTTAACATGCATTAAGTTCCCACTATGTGCCAGACTCTTGCCATGCCATTAGGCTTGCTTTTCCTTACCTCAGAAACGTATGTTCCAGCCAAATTGGACTGACAATGCTCTTCATGCTTGAGGTCTGTATCCAGAATCTCTTCTCTGGCTCTTACCATGACCCTGTCTATGAGTTCAGTGCTATTTCTGCCACCAAATTTGGAAGAGTCGTCTTCGCTGTAAGTGGACTGCTCTTCAACAGCCAGCTTTGCGGGGTGGATCTCGTCAGGAAAAGCATCTTCTTCCAGGGAGGTTGGAGGGTCCGCTAGGTCGACTGGCTGAATGTCTGAATCAACAGTAAGTTCCGCCTGGGTTACAGAAGGAGAAATTTCTTCTGCTGCAACGGTGCGAATTATGACACTTGGCGCATGACACTGTACTGTGACATTGTCACTTGAACTCAGCAAGCGCTCTGGCTTTGAGAAATGGCCACAGAATGGATAAGTGCCACAGAGGGTCTCAGATTTCTAACCTGAGTTTATCCTAAATCCGTAACTTGAATGCAAGTTTCTTAGTTCAAAATGGCTTAAAGAGAGATAAATCACGTGAGTATAGCAGAGAATAAAGTGAAATTCTGGAGGTCCTGTTATCCCCCCATGTCATGAATTTATTGCACTGCATCCCATCTACAACTGCAAAAGGGACAAGCTGGGCATTTTACAACAAGTAATAAAAACAGGCAGAAAAATATCACAAGCCCTCAGTGTATTAGCCACAGCTTAACAGGGTTCCTGTCATTAAGGCCACACATGGCAAATAATTATGGGAGATCTGCAGGACTATATTCTGCATAGATTTATGTAGTACATATCCATGCTACATTAGGAAGAATCTGGTAGTTATAGAAGAATTCAGTCGCCTTGTAATTTCTGCAGGAAATACCTGAGGCTACAGCATCGTAAGCAGTTAATTGCTATCTGAATAGCAAAGGAAGGCGCCTGACATCTAATACTTGGCCTCGGAGGTGTGGTATCTCCTGTTGAAAGAAGAGAGTGCTAACTTGGGAAAAGATGGCTCCATGTGGTGGTGGGGAGCTAGAGAAATGAGAAAGGATATCCCTCAAGGGGGGGCATGGTGATGCTGGTGAGCATGGCTCACTCCAGAGAGAAAAATGCTAGTGGAGAAGGCTGCAGCAAACCTCTGGCACTGCTCCTGAGTGGAAAATACACCCCAACCCTATTGCATGCAGCCAGGGTCCCCAAAGCCCATCATGCGCCAAACAAGCAAGTCCAATTCAAATATCGTCATTGTGAATCATTTGGCCTGCTCGCAGGGAGCTTTCACCGAGTTTTCAGATTTGACTGCAACAGGTCTTTGTACTTTGCCACAACTAACTACTACAGAGATTGCTCCCCAGATAAAATGGTGCAATTACTTCAATTCTTTTGCATCGGATGTTCTTGTTTATGTTTCAGTAGAGGAGTATTACCCATAGTATAATGGACTAACAACAGTCCTGAAGCTATCCATCCTCAACCTGCTCTGCCTTTGTAGCTCTCCACTTCCCCCTTCAAGATACATACGGATAAAGCGTGGACAATGATCTGTTCTGGTGAGGCTGGTGCAGCAGCAGCAGCAGCTGTAAGGGTCACAGTTGGGCTGGTGGTTAGTGTCAAAGGCAACCCCTGGCTTGAGCTTGTCTGCAGTAAATAAGTGCCTGGAGTTCCCGTAGGCTGCAGATGGAAAGACTAAGAAAAGAGGAGAGGACTTCAATAGAAGCAAGTCAACAGCAGACAGACTCCTCAAGCACGCACTCATTCCAAAGTCTAGGTGGAAAGAAGCTGGAATCAAAAAGGAGCACCTTTCCTAAACGTAACAAACCAGGAATCCATTTAAATCTGATACCTGATGACAACTGCTATCCTAATGAACCACATCCTTTCTTCTTGTGGCCTGCCTCCAGGTATGCATTGCTGGATCTCTTATGCACTACATTTCCCCCCACTTACAATGCAAGCTGCTCCAGGCAGTGCATATTACCCCCCCCCCCCCCAATTTTATTTTCACAGCAACATGTCTAGGTTAGGGACAGTGAGCTTCTCAGGGGAATGAAGATTTGAATCTGAGTGTCCCTCCAACCTCACTCCTGGTTGAACACTCCATTTGCTAGATAAAAGAAAGGGCAATGTGCAGCCTGCAGGAAGCCCCTATCCCTAAAATTTGTGGCAGGAGCAACAATACTATTTCCCACTAGATTTCAGTGTCAAATTACTATGGAAAGCTAGAATTTGCTGCCATCATCCTCATCCTCATCTCCATCTCAGTAGCTGAAGCTTCCTGGGCAGTGTACAATTGCCAAAAACAAGAAAATACAATATAAAATATAAGTAACACTAAAATTATTATAAAATTTCATTTGAAATTTACAACTGGATATTTACAGCTTAAATAGCTAAGACAGGTACATGCTGCTGGGCCTCCTAAAATGACTGCTGCCCTCTCAAGCTTCCCTCGGCAGTAGCAACTGGCAGATGGCTGCAGATGCTGATCACAGAGTCTGGCTGACTGTGGCCAGGAGGACTGTTCCATCAGGTATTGTGGCTCCAGGCTGTGCAGGGCCTTATAGGTTTAAAAGCACTCTGAATTGGGCTCAGAAGTGTATAGGCCACCAATACAAGCAGGCCAGGAGTGGTGTTATGTGCTTGTACCTTCTGGTTCTGGGTATTCTGCATGTTGCACAATGTGCAGCTTCTGAACAGCTTTCAAGGGCAGCCCCACATAGACTGCATTGCAGTAATCTAGTGTGGGGATTATTAGTATTTAGATTACTGAAACCAGGCTATTCCTGTCCAGACAGGGGTATAGCTGGGCCACCAGCTGAAGCTGGTGGAAGGTGCTCCAAGCCGTTGAGGCCACCTGAACCGTAAATGACAAAGATGGCTAAAGGAGCACTACCAAGCTACAACCCTGCTGCTTCAAGGAGAGTGCAACCCCATTCGGAACAGGATGAATACCCTCCATCTGGTCAGAAAAAACCACCCAATAACAATCTAGTCTGGATTGAGCTTAGTCTGATAGCCCTCATCCAGTCCATTGTTGCAGCCAGGCACCAGTTCAGCACATCCACAGCCTCAAAAAGGAGAAAAAGAGCTGCTTCCTGATGGTAATGAACTCCAGATGGTCCCACTCAGTGGTTTTGCGTAGATGTTGAACAGCATGGGGCACAAGACTGACTCCTGGGGAACCCCATACTGAAGAATCCAAGGGGCAGAGTGACCCAAGCTGTTCTCTGTCAAAAGCTGGTCTAAACCCCAATGGAATTTGATGAGATTATCCTTCTTCTCCAAGAGTGCCTAGAGCTGGCTGCCCTCTCACAAACCTTACTTCCAAGCAATACTTGACCAAGCTACCCTTTCGTTCACTCCCATAAATCAGCAGTAAAGTGATGGTCTGTTTTCGCCAGCATGAAATTCACCAGTGTGAGGATGGCAAGACAGTGGTCTATGAGAAGGTCTAGGGTTATGTTTGTGAATCCACCACTCCTCCCAAGATAGCTAGCCATCCTCTAAAGGCTTACATGGCTGGAGCCCAGTCCCTTTAGGGAAGACCTTCCTCTTTTTAATTTCCTCAACAGAGATCCTCCGTTCCAAACTCCTCCTTTTTCTGATTACTAAATGGCAGGAAGAAGGGTCTTTCCAACATGTCACCCACTCCCGAGAATCCTCTCCGTTGCATCATCTGTTTTCCATGGTTCAGAATTTTTTTATCTTCAGACACCTGCTGGATGAGGCAGATTGCTGCAGTGGTGTCTCTGTCTCCAATTCACTGTATGATTTGAATAATTTACAGTGCAACCCTATGGATGCCAAAGGGATTTACTCTAGATAAGTATGCACAGAATTACAACATCAAACACCTGAAACGGAGTTAATGTGTAACACAGTTTCCTTACTTCATTATAAAACATCCAACACTTAGTACAATAAGAACCTGGTAGATGAATTGCTCACTTTTTGTGAACTTAATATAACAGCACCATGTACACCAGAACACTTTCAATTCAGAAGGGCAAACTAGTTAAGTGTGAAATAATCAGTACAATTCTGGCTTACTTACTGGCAGAATTTCAAAGGTCTGTAGTGTTCCACTATTCAGAGTTATAGTCTCAGAATCAACTGAAGCAGCAGGGGAATCAGAAGAAGCTATGGAGTAAGAGGGAAACACATACACATATATGCATATATATATAGAGAGAGAATCACATCCCCACATAAAGTTTTCTTGGGTATATTGAATTAAACAGAAAAGCAGAACCTCAAGAAAAAACTAATGAATGTATGCTGCAGAGTGGTGACTTGCCTATTCATAAAGGCAGCTAGCTAATCTGCAACTCCTTGGGTTGTGGTGCCATGCAAAGTAAATTGATAGCTACATGGAGATTGATGAAAATGTAAAATATTCACATGTTATTCATAAGCAATTACAACACCACAAACATCCCACTTCTTTACAAGTCTCTGACAGCAAAGTGAGAATTGCAGAATCCATGCCTTTAGTTGGGTACTATAGGCTGCTCTCTATAGGGTTATTTATTTATTTAGGGTTATCTCAAGTGATCTTAGAGAGGGAACAGAATATGGGCAGCTCTTTTGCAGGGAGGATATTGCCTAATACCTGTATTTCTTTATGGAGACCCATTGGAGCATGCCACATTCTGCCTCTTCCTAGAGCTCTGCTGTCACTCCAAAATAGATGTAACCACTGGGAATTTTTTATATACACTTATTCAATGTATTTACAGGCCACTTTTTAGGGCCACACTCTCAAAGCAATGTGTATGAAATGAAAAATTAATAGTATGCTAAGAAGATCACATGAAGAGCACAGTAGATACAACAAAGAGGTGAAAAAAATACTTTGAAACAGAGAGCCATCCATTCTCTTTAGGAAATACAACAGTAAAAGAGGCAGATCCTACATGTATGTTCTCTTTCTTTTTCCAAGGAGCTCAGAGTGCCTAGGATGGGATTGCTGGTCAGCATTTACAGGGCCAGATTTTCTTACTTTAGTCGAAGAACCAAACCCCATGCCTTTAGACCCTTTTATAGGAAGGAGAAATGTCCTTCCTTTGCACACTGGAACACTAACAGTGAATTCACCTATGACAACCCACAGTAGGTAGCTAGCCATGGTGGGTTGTTATATAATCCAAAATGAGACTTCTTTCTGCAGGGTGGCTTGTGTTTGTGGGTTTGTTGGAGCCACATTGGGTTGTTGTGAGGTCTGACCCCACTGAGGGTTGCAGGAAGTGCCAAATGAGCAACGTGGCAACAATCCCTCTTGTTGCCCATGCCCAAACTCACTGTGTGGTGTATACCATGGTCTGCATATCATATTCGGATTATCATTGTGTATGCAAGAGAGGGGCAATGCTCATGTACACAGACAGGGTCTCTGTCTGTCTGGGGCAGCTTACAGATCACTTTGCTACCAGATCAAAACGAGGTATCCACATGAAGCCCATGCCAGGCTAGGGAGAAGAAGCAAGTCATGAGTGCCAGCCACTTACAGACATGAGTAATCTGGACTGGAATTTGCAAAGCTGCCATGGGGCCTGAAGAGTTGCTTGAATTTTCGTCTAAGCGAGCCACTCGAATCTGAACGTGTTGAACCCCAGAAGCGGAATGAGCATTTGGGAACCCGGGTAAGGATTTATTCTCTGAAAGTTGATGCCCTGGAGTGTTTTTTTGGCTTTCATGGAGCTGTTTCAGACCTTTTATAAGAACTAAAACCAAAAACCAAAAAACCATAGTCACTCAATGATGCTGTAAATATAAAGAGGAAACCATTTGGGATAAAAATGCTGTGCATGATTGAGCATAAGAGATTAAACATAATTAAACTTGTTTTTACCCTTAACTCCCCCATCTTGATATATAAAGGCAGAAGTCCAAGTATTAGTCAAATCTGGTCTTAATCCAGTCTTGCATTTAGCTGTTTGCTTGAAAATCACTGCAACTAGTAATTCCACACCAGGTGAGTGTGTGGCATTCCCTCTTTGGGAAGTGAGCATGCTAGACAGAGAAAAAATGATTTCTTTCCTTTGTCAGCTTGTTCAACTTCTGTGCTGGTTGCAGAGGAATTGAAGTCCCTTCCTCTACAGCCACTACAGAAGCTGGGTGGGAGAAGCAGGAATATACATCATATTAATAATACAAATATTTTAATGGATATATATATATATTTTCTTTCAAAAATTTCTTTTATACAGATAGATAATTTTATATATAAAGCAGGTATTTATTTGATACCTGTCCTGTCATTGTTTGTGTTAATCAAATTCCAACTAAGATAGCAAAAATTTTAGAAATCCAGAAAGCCTTAAACTCTACCAATATATCTGTATGGACTTAAGGTGGATTCCAAAAACTACCCTAACTAAAGGGCCTACAGTGCCTCTAAATATGTTCAGTTATATGGTATAATCCACCTTAAGTACACCCACAATACAAAAAGGCATTATATAAAGCATAAATGAAAAAGTGTTGGAATGAGTCTGGCTGGGTAAGATAATCACCCAAAATAGTGTTTGCATATTCCTATTTAGCTTATTCAAGGCCTCTGTCTGCCTGTGCCTTAAGACTATTTTCTGCTATCCTCTTCTGCCTCCTTTGGGGCAAGCTATATTCCTTAGTATTAGTAATCCTTTAAAAGGATCCAAGAACTCTTGTTAAGAGTTGCAGGTTTGAATTTTGCTTTGCACTACACCCAGCGATTGTTCTTAGGACAAACCACTCTTATTCAGTCTCAGTTCTGCCCTGTGAAGATGATAATACTGAACTACCTCTAAAGAGGTAAAAAGTGCCCTTCTGGATTAGACCGAGATCTAACTAGTCAGGCATCCATTCCCACAGTGACTTACCAGTTACCTGTGGGAAACTCACATGCAGACATGTAAACAACACTTTTCTGCCCATGACTCCTAGCAAATAATGTATTTGCCTCTAATGTGAGAAGTGGCATATGGCCATCAGGACTAGCAGCCCCAAATAGCCGCCTTCTCCATGAATTTGTCCAATCACCATTTTAAGCCATCCAAACTGGTGGCCATCACTACATCTTATGGAAAAATGCTATAGTTCAACAATGCACAATGTGAATAAATATTTTTTCTCCTGTTCTACTACTCCACTATGATGATTATTATTTTAGTATCCCCCCCCCTTTTTTTTTTGGTTGTCTGGGCTGGCAGGTCACAGTGAAGTACTAAAACCATGCTAAGTATTGTTTCCTGTTCTCATCCCCCCAAACAAGCAAACAAACTGCAAATAAATCATAGCTTCACAGAAAAGGCATACACAGAGAGAAACTGTTCCTTTATTTTTAGCATAGAAACTATATTTAAAATTGGAACAAGAAGTTCTCCTTATTCCCAAATCACTGTGAATTAGACCACAGGGCACAAGCTTGCCTAACCTCTGCAAAAGGTGTTTCTAAAAACATCCTGAAAGCAAGATGCTGGGTCTATTGTTTAATATCTTCAAACCAAAATGTAAACCAACCCCATTAGGGGCATTCAAAAATCTCAAGAACAAATCCCATTGGATGTATCATTTCCTAAGTGTCACAAGTCACATCTCCTCCTTTTGGTTTCAACCATTTGAGCCATTTGAGCACTACATTCTAGGTTTGAAGAATGAAGGAGAAATTCTGAACATGGAAGGAAATAGCATTATACACTCGTAGCCCTGAGCACCTTACCAGGAAAAGAAACCTCTTTGTGATTTGCAATCTGCCTTTTGATCGTCCACCATTTACTGCGAAGCCACTGCGGCGAGCGCACGCTGCTCCAGCCTTCAGCCAGCAGATCCCAATTGATATCGTTTTCATCAGCTACTTCTAGCTCTGCTATTCTGACAGGATTACATGGAAAAGAAGTATGTATTAACCAAGACAGCTTGAAGTGCAGAAGAGGTCTTGTGTGACTTGTCATGATTGCATATTGTAAAACTGCGTACCAAATGTCACTTTAAACAAATAGCATATGGCCCCAAGAGTGCTTTTTAGAAGGCAGTGGTATCCTTCATGGAAGCTACCACATAGCATTCAGCCCTTTGGGGCAGTGCCAGCAGAGCCCCCAGCCTGGATGGGCTGGCATGGACTACAGCCTTCATCGTCACTTGCCTTTAATGTACTTCCCCATTGTGGATAACACTGGGATCTTCCTCTTTTTATAAGCACTATGATTCCATTTTTAAGAAGGTATCTAAAGAAGATCCAAATATTGAATATATAAGGACTAGGGACACAGCAGCTATTGTTGGGTGAGTTTTCCAATATTTTGGAAAATAATACAGTAACAGTTTTACTTTGAAAATCAAAACAAGATATGTAGATGAATCCTTCCTGTCTATGCAGGGCCTTCTAAGAAAAATGACACAAACCTAAGGATCAGGTTTATTTCGTCTTCCTTAGTCCATTCAGTGCCTCCACTCTGTTTCCAGTTTAGGTAGTTGAGCCATTTGGAGCGGCACTGCTTTTCAGACCGTGTTCCAACTCGTTCTGCCACAGCAGCCCAAGATACGCCTTGTGTGACAATATCACCAGGTTCTGTACTTGTTAATTCATGTACCACTGCTGCTAACCTCTTTTCTTCTTCTTCTGTCCATTTCCCTGGAAAAAAAAATAAAGTAGACAAATATGCATAGCACTACAGCGGGAAAGCATGGTTTTCCTGACATTTAGTCCTCAACTTTCTCTCCCTCTTGTTTTGCTTCAGCAATTTCTATACACCTCCATTTTTAAAAACTATTCTGCCTCATCTTATGGCGTGTTGGTCAGTCAACTAAAAGAGAATTGGAGAAAAATATATCTACTTAAAAGGCTGATACAAGGATATTCCTGAATCATGTCCACAGTCTATAATTTAGTCTACTTTCTAGAAGAATACTTAGTATAACCTTTTCTACCATACATTTTAACATTGTTAGTGGATAACAAATAGCCAATGAATAATGGTATAAGAAAGAATACACTTAGTTGTTGTTGTTGTTGGTCGTGAAGTCATGTCCAACCCATTGGGACCCCATGGACAACATTCCTCCAGGCCTTCCTGTCCTCCACCATCCCCCGGAGTCCATTTAAGCTCACACTGACTGCTTCAGTGACTTCATCCAGCCACCTCATTCTCTGCCATCCCCTTCTTCTTCTGCCATCTATTGTTCCCAGCATCAGGCTCTTCTCCAGCGAGTCCCTCCTTCTCATTACATGGCCAAAGTATTTGAGTTTCATCTTCAGTATCTGGCCTTCTAAAGAGCAGTCAGGGTTGATCTCCTCTAGGACTGACTAGTTTGATCGCCTTGCAGTCCAAAGGACTTGCAGCAGTCTCCTCCTGCACCACAATCCAAAGGCCTCAATTCTTTAGTGCTCAGCCTTCCTTATGGTCCAGCTTTCACAGGCATACATTGCAACTGGGAAAACCATAGCCTTGACTATACACACTTTTGTTGGCAGGGTGATGTCTCTGCTTTTTAGTATGCTGTCTAGATTTGCCACAGCTTTCCTCCCCAAGAACAAGCGGCTTTTAATTTCTTGGCTGCAGTCCCCGTCTGCAGTGATCTTGGAGCCCAGGAGAATAAAATCTGTCACTACCTCCATTTCTTCCCCATCTATTTGCCAGGAAGTGAGAGGACTGGATGCCATGATCTTAGTTTTCTTAATGTTGAGTTTCAAGATAACTTTTGCACTCTCCTCCTTCACCCGCATCAAGAGGCTCTTTTGTTCCTCTTCACTTTCTGCCATTAGAGTGCCATCATCTGCATATCTGAGGTTGTTGATCTTTTCCCCAGCAATCTTAATTCCAACTGGTGATTCATCTAGCCCCACCTTTCTCATGATGTGTTCTGCATGTAAGTTAAATATAAGTGGTTCCGTGTCCAGTTCTCACTGTTGCTTCTTGACCCACATATAGGTTTCTCAAGAGACAAATAAGATGGTCAGGTATTCCCATCTCTTTAAGAACTTGCCACAATTTGTTGTGATCCACACAGTCAAAGGCTTTAGCATAGTCAATGAAGCAGAAGTAGATGTTTTTCTGGAACTCCCTAGCTTTTTCCATGATCCAGCGTATGTTGGCAATTTGATCTCTAGTTCTTCTGCCTCTTCGGAATCCTGCCTGTACTTCTGATAGTTCTTGGTCCACATACAGCTGGATCCTAGCTTGTAAGATTTTGAGCATAACTTTGCTAGCATGTGAAATGAGTGCAGTAGTGTGGTAGTTTGAACATTCTTTGACATTGCCCTTCTTTGGGATTGGAATGTAAATTGACCTCTTCCAATCCTGTGGCCACTGTTGAGTTTTCCAAATTTAGTAAAGAATCTAAATTGAATAAAGTATCTAAATTGAAAACATCTCCTTAATTAGACTACTTATCTCCAAGTTAGGACCAACCTATATATTATAGTTAAGGCACACTTACTACTGCCATAACAAAAGGAAGTCTCATATTACACGGGAAGATCAAATGATATGTATATATCCCACACCAGTGTCAGTACTGGAAAAGACTGATATCATTGGGGTATAGTGTGTGTTTAGGCATCTCAATTAAGTTACCTGTTTAGTATGGAAGGACAGTGGCTATGTAACTGTGCTTCCACAAAGGCAACAGACAAAACATGATTTATTCATCTAGGAAGCACTATGGACAGCTCCCTGCAAGGAAATCACCCAATGCACTACTTAAAATTATTATACAAAGGACAGGAAAGAATATGGAAAATATGGAGTAACATATATAGCATCTCTCTGCTTTCTAGCTCACCTTACTAGTGTTTATTCATCAGTGTGATATTAAAAAAGCATTATAGCATGGAACCTTTATTTAATACATTAGTATTTAAAACATATCCTAAGATTATGGAGCTGAAAATTAAAGATATTTTTTCAAGTCAATCTATGTGTTTATGGCATGGATTAGACAGGGACAGCTACCACAGATTTAACTAAAACAACATTGCCAGTGATCTTAATATTTGTACCAGTATTGCAGGTGTCCTTCATCAGTCTACATCGGTCTTTAACTGAAGACGCACTTCTACCAAGGGCAGCTCCTATAGTTGCCCAGTCATTCCCATGCTTTATTCTTAGCCTAGGAAGAAAAGGCATATTAATATTGTGCACAAATATGATGCAAACTACTCAGCTGTAGGCCAATAGCAGTGTCTTTCAGAAATTCAGAAATGCAGGTGGAGAAGCCCAGATCATTCCCAATTTTGTTCTCCGTAAGTGTCCTAGATGAAACCTTTACTAGATTCACAAAGTGAGTGAGGTTCAGTCTGTTAGAATTTATTATTGTTATTACAGCTATTGTTGCTGCTGTTATTTATTCATTTCCATACCACCCCACAGCTGAAGCTGTCTGGATGGTTTGCAACCATCCAATTTACCATGGCTTTATGAAGATGAACTCCTCCTTAAGATATTACAAGCAAGCCATTTTGCCCCAGAACAGATAAACCTGTTAAAATTAAATAGAAATTCTACTTCACTTTCCAATAAGCCAGCATGGTGTACATCTTTGCTAATACCATTTTAAACATGCTCTTACTCTTTTCTCTCAACTGCAATCTAAAGTGAGTTTATTAAATCAGTACTTCTCACTTTATATTTATCTGTCAAGCCTTCTTTTGGAATTCCGTTTATTGCAGTACTGACATAAAAAATATTTCTAGATAGAGGGACTGTACTCATGACATCAGCCCCTGTACCATACACTGGATGAGAAAGGTCAGTCAGAGCACTCAAAAACCTTTGAGCACACTCCACGTGAAATAAAGGTCTGCATTAAATTTCTTGAGAATGATAGAAAGGACATTAGGGAACATTCAATTTGCATGCTCTGCCCTGTCGCTAATATTTGACCTTCTCTCCTGCTTCCTCTGCTAAAAGGAAGAGAGAGGAAAATGGCACTCTCAGGGACCAGAGTCAAACCACAAGGATTTGGTTGCCAAATGCAACTGCAGAAAAGGATCTGGACAAATCTCTGCACTATTTACAAAATCAGTTTATTAGAAAATAAAACTTACTCCTTGAGCTTCTCAATTTCATCAGGAGTATATCTGTGGAACACATAAGCAACACTGAATTAACACATGCATGCACAGTTTATTTCTTGTAGACCTCTCATTGCTATACCTTGGTTAGTACTGCACATGTTAATATGGTAACGTTTTTCACAAAGGATAAGACAATCATGACTTTCAGAATCAAGGGAAAATTCATGTGCAACATCTCTTCTTATTTATTTTTATTGAAGCTATACAGCCATCCATCAGCGCATCTTCCCAGCATGGCTTACAAAGCAGGAAACAAAATACAACACTAAAAACCGCTCATTTCTGGTGGTGGAAAACACAGTAAGAAGCAACACAGTAAGAATCCAGACTCCAAGTACCTTCATTTTGAGTCATATGGCCCAGTCCAGGATGAAGTTTGAAAGCCAATCTTGAGTTCATGTACCCAACATGTTGTATGTGACCATGAATCCAGAGGCAGTACTGAAGTATGGACAGGGAATGGTGGTGGCAGCAACTTGCTAGTACTCTCCCAAAAATATCTTTAACAAACGTTGTGAGCATGGCTGCTGCACTTTCCAGGACTCCTCCGCCATTGTCTGAGTCCTGGAAAGTCTGGCTTCCAGTGCTAATGGTGAGCATTGCATGTGCTTTACATTTGCATGTGTAAAGCATGCATGTGTAAAGCATGCATGTGCTTTACATTTCCTTGTAAGCTGAAAGGCAGTGAAGCAGGGTTGCACTTGCAAAAAAAGTCCTGATCTGGGTCTCCTGCCTTTGCACAGGGCCCAGGTATTTATTACTGCGGTGGACATTCATGTTGGGCATGAAGTTTCTCCTGCTGCCAAGTTTCTCCTGCTGCCGCTATTATTACTACTACTAAGATCACCCATGGAAGTGCAGGTACATACTTACCGGTTAGCACAATCTTGACCCAAGATTGTGAGAGATTCCAGATGCAGCTAGTGAAGAGGTATGCCTCAGCCTCATTCCCTGCCCCCACAAGAAGAGTGGAAATACTCACTGAGGGTCTCTTAACTTACTAATGCTAGGAATTCTAAATGATGCTAAATGATACTGTCAGAACTACAGGATGGTATATATGTGCCAAAATCTATTCCTTTATGCTACAACATCAATTTCTGAGGGTTTTCTCTTAATCTCCCATCTTGATTCTTCAGTTCTTAGCTGCTGTATTAAGTTAAAAGGGACACAAGACCATTCACAACCGATTGGTTCAAGCGATAGAAGGTTTCATACTTGCCAACGTGATTTCGGTCATCATACATGCGAAGTACTCGTCTATAAACAGCAAAGAGAGGCCGGTTCAGACCCCAAGCAATGGTCCTGTAGAAATCTTTCCTTTCATCTTTTGACATCTCAAAGATGATTTCAGTAGCATCTTTTATTCCATGTGCCTAGTCACATTAAGATTTGGATGACAATTTAAGTTTTCCAACATCTTGCAATAAAGACTGCTGCTTTCACATAAATTCTGCAAAAAAGAATCTCACAAAACTATGCAGCTTATATTGAAAAACTGAATTGCTGAGTTACCAAATCTGGTAAACTACACCTAAATAAACATTATCATTATATATTGATATAAATAACCATTTCTATTCAGATTTAAGACTGCAGCAAATACATCTGATAACTATGCCAATTTAGAAAATGTGCAAAGTTAATTTAAACTGGAACTGAATTTAGAAAAAATGAACTAGTCCTTTATAATAGGTGGCTTTTAAAAGTTTAAAACACAGATGTCAATGTAACTAATCTTACAGTGGTACCTCGGCTCATGAATACCTCCGTTAACAACCAAATCGAGTTACGAATAGAAATTTCAGAAAAATTTTGCCTCAGGTTGTGAACTCTGCATCGGGTGATGATCATGATCATGCCTGTCTTCCCTGGACAGGCACAGTTGCTGTCATACTGGGGGTGGGGAGATGGCTGCGATCGCGCTCGTCTTCTCTGCCCGAGCACGACTGTCAGTGGCTGCGATCATGGTCGCGCCCATGCAGGGAACATGGGCATGACTGCGGTTGTGCTTGCGGTGGGGAGGGCCGTGATTGTGCCCTTGTTTCCTGCTCAGGCATGACCGCGATTGCATACGTCTATGGCCACGATCATGGTTGCGCTCGTTCAGGGAACATGGGTGCGATCCCAGTTGTGCTCAGGGGGAGATCGCTGTGATCGTGCTTGGGTGGGGTGTGGGGGGACATGGCTGCGATCTTTGTTTTTCTTTGTCACTTTGCTTCAAATTTTGGTGATTAAAAAAATGTTACAGAACAGATTAGCCTTATTTATATTGAATCTTATGGGGAAATTTAACTTGGCTCACAACCAATTTGGCTCACAACCAGAGTCCTGGAGTGGATTCAGTTTGTGAGCCAAGGTACCACTGTATTTTACTGGCTGCTAAAAACTAAAAAGTAGATTTTAAAGTGAAAACAAACAAACAAACAAAGGAATTTATTGAAATCGATCATTTTAAAAATTAGGAAAAAGTATAACAAAAAAGGCAAATCAGCACCCAATCATGGGTGCTTCAGGTACATCATGGTTGTACAACCCATGCCCTACATGCAGTCACCAGGAACTCCTGGTGTGATCCACAAGGTTAGTGTTATTCTGGTAGCTCTGTGATATTTGTTATCTTACTTTACGATTAACAGGATTGGTTACAAATCTTCACTGAACCAATGCAAATGGAACATTCCTCTTCCACTTGCTAAGCAAGGCATTATTATGCTGGAACTGTAGGATTTCTTTTCTGAACATGCATAGGGCTGTGCTCAAAAGATACTATTTAGAGGTGTATCTAACAAAAGCAACAAAGGTTACAGACACCATAGTTGATGCTGCTTTTGCTACAAGCTGGCTGTGATCACTGGTTTATAACAGTGATCTATAATAAAGAGGGCATTTATTCCTCTCTCCTCCTCACTACAGTCTTCTATGCTGCCTGAAAATCTGGTTCAAAGAGATTCCCAGCCCTCCAGATTTTGGGAAGAAGGATCCCCTCTTGGTTCCATTGACAAAATTACTTCCATTAGTGAATCAAACCATTTGATTCAACCCATTATTTAAATACTCTCTGAGTAGCTAGAATTAAGATTTAAAAATAATGGTCAATAAATAGTGAGCAGATGGGAAAGATCCATTATGCAAGTAGCATTTCACTCACGCAAAGTGTGGATCCAGGCCAAGCCAATGAATGTTCTAAAATGGCCAACACAGAAGAGATTAGCCATTGAAAACAGCAAGCTAACTGAATGCAACAGAAATTCTAAAAATGCCTAAATCAATTTGTTTAGGAGACATTTATTAAAGTACATAAATAGATCAACAGACACAAACCTTTAAATAGCGTTCAATGTTGCTCATCAAAATGTCAATTTCTTCTTTAGACCACATTCCCTGCTTCCATTTATGACCTTAAAAAGTAAAGGGAAACTATCACACAAACTACATTTCCATTATTAACACATGCAGTTATTTGAAGCCAATGCAATTAATTAGGCAACACAATTTTCTCTTTCATTTTCTAAACAGATGTCACACAGAATAGCTTTACATTTATGGTCCAAATTCAACACATACTTATCCACAGACTTATTATGTACCTTTAACCTACCCTATCTGTACATGACATTTAGCATTTAGGCATTCAGTGATGATGCTTAGTGTCTCACAACTGCAATGACAAAGGTCCCAGTGTTCCTAAACAATATCAAACCAGCAAAAGAACAGAATAGTAACAATAAGAAAAAGCTGGAATAACGCAGTAACAAATGCAATACGAAGTATTAAATCCATTTGCCCCCATGAGTCAATGGAAATCAACTTGAGTATGTTTTTCTGGAATTTTCCAAATAAAACATACCATTATTCTGTATCAAAACAACACTGCTAATTCTTGTATTTTTGCCATATAATATAAATGTTTGTAAATGGCAAATCAGGACAGCATACTAAAAAGCAGAGACATCACCCTGCCAACAAAAGTGTGTATAGTCAAAACTACGGTTTTCCCAGTTGCAATGTATGGCTGTGAAAGCTGGACCATAAGGAAGGCTGAGCGCCAAAGAACTGAGGCCTTTGAGTTGTGGTGCTGGAGGAGACTCCTGCGAGTCCCCTGGACAGCAAGGCAATCAAACTGGTCAGTCCCAGAGGAGATCAACCCTGACTGCTCTTTAGAAGGCCAGATACTGAAGATGAAACTCAAATACTTTGGCCACATAATGAGAAGGACTCACTGGAGAAGAGCCTAATGCTGAGAACAATTGATGGCAAAAGAAGAAGGGGACGGCAAAGGATGAGGTGGCTAGATGGAGTCACTGAAGCAGTTGGCATGAGCTTAAGTGGACTCTGGGGGATTGTGGAAGACAGGAAGGCCTGGAGGAATGTTGTCCATGGGGTCGTGATGGGTCGGACACAACTTCGCGACTTACAACAGTAACATGTTTGTAATGACCTATGGTTAAACCAGTTGTGCATGGCATAAACAATTCACAAACTGTTCATAATTCATTCACATGATACTTTAATTCATGTTCAAGCATACACTTCACAATGGGAGAATGTAAATGTACCTTTGTTTGTTAAAGAATCTTTATCCTCTTTGGTTGTAAACCAGGCTTGGCTAACAGCTGACACTTCTTCGTTGCCTAAAGAAGAGATTTCATCCAGCTGTTCATTTTGAAGAATCTGGGAAAGAAAAATTGAAGAAGTTGTCTACAAATGTACATTCACTGTCATAAGCAGTACATTCACTGCTTAACAATCACGAGTTAAGGATACAAACACTTTGCTGTGCTTATGTACTGAATCTGACAATAATAAAATTCCCACTGATTATACTGAATCAAAATGTTACCTTAAATGTTAAAACAAATTTACAGAATATATGTATCTCCTACCTTATATTCCACAAAGTAATTTGACAAAGTTAGAATATCTCTTCTTAATTTGCGCCATCAAACATGCTCCAGTTGTAGTACAACAAGGCCCTTATCCATGGGTCATATTGTATGAAGTCATGGTCCATGAATAAAACAGCATGCTTTTTAATTCCCATGTAAAAACTTGGAAATACTTAAAGAATTGTTTAGCTTCTGATTAACATTTAACAAGAGACATGCCAAAAAGGGACAAAAACCTCAAAAATCTGCTATCGAGTCAGAAAAGTGATTGTAGTTTATACTCTTTTGAATTTGCTGAGCTGCCTTCTTCACTAATATAAAAAGATAGAGCTTAGGAGCAGCCTGCATGCTGTGCAGCACACAGACTTTAGCTGGACCACACAATTACCTGCCTCAGAAATCAACTTAACTAGAGGAATGGACAACAACTGAAGCAAACAAGCAAACCCATCATCAGCATACAGGCAGAACATTACAAGAAAAATATTGTTGCAGTTATTTCAGAATAATTTAAATGTATTTACATGTTCTGATTAGAGAAAAAAGCCAAGAACATTGAAAGATACCAGGCTTGCAAATTCATTGACATTAACAGCAATGGTAAAAGTTTTTTAAAAAAACAAGAAACAATTAGAACACACAGAAGCTTGCCCAAAAACTGCTGTAAGCAACTTTATGTTATTTTGTACCTGGATCTGAGTAACAGTTCCTTCGTTAACCTCATTATCAGCTACCTCTGTGGTAGCAGTCATAGTCACCTCAAAGCTTTGATCACTTTCTGAAACTTAACATGCAAAACATAAAATTAGTATGGCATGTCCATCTCTGTTGCAAGCATTATATGTAATGTACATTAAGGCTGCGATCTTATATGAATTTAGACAGAAAATGGTCTACAATTTGCAACATGTTCCAGCTAGCAGCTGGAAGGCCATTCTCTGTCTAAACATGCATAGGACTGAGCCTTTAATAAGTATCCATGTTGACACTGAATACTTATTATCAATGCTTATCCTAAGATCCTAATAAAATTTAAGGCTGAAATGGTTACTGCATTCTACCATTTGCTAGCATAGCTGCATATACTGTGGGGAGAATAACAAAACTTTTCATATTCCATACTTTAGTTAAAGTTAGGATGAAGCCAAAACTGTGCCTACAGTTTCTTTGATGCACAGGAACTAGTACAGGGTACATAAAGGAAAATGGATAGAGATCCAGGTCTTTGGATTTGTCTGGAAAGTTCACAGCCCCAAGACTGGATAGTTGAAACAGCCCTATCCAGCCTTGTTGAAACAGCCCTATCCATGTGCATGTCTAGCCTATCTTTAGAAACATAGATAGAAACATATCTATAGAAACATTTCTATTAGTCTGCTAAAACTTAACAACCAGAAAGAATGCCATGAGATGGAAACCTTTGGAATTAGAGTCAAAACTAAATAGAACATGCTGCTATAGGCTGCAGTGCTATGGTTTAGGGGCTTAAGATACTGTGCACCTCTTGCCTGCAAGTGGCGAGAAATGTACCCCTACAGAGAGGGAGACTTGTGGAGAGTACCCCACTGGAGGTATTCTAACAGTGGTGAGGCTGAAAACTGGGTAGCTTGGAGGTATTGTCAGGAGAGGCTAAGGCTCTGCAGGATACTTGGCCCTTTGGTTCCCTTGATATGTTCCAAAGAGAATTTGAAACTATGGTAGCTCCAAAAGCTGCCACAGTGAATTCCTTCTTAACAGAGGTGAGAAGAGAGGAGAAATAACCAACATGCCACCCCATCCATCTTCTGTTTTTACCAACACAAGGCAACAGGGTTTAAGATGGAATAGCTTCTCTGCCTTAGACACTGCCCTGCTAAACTTAGGGTTGCTTTTGCCAGGTAACAGCATCCTATTAAAACATTTAAATGGATAAATTCTTTTAAATACAATGCTGCAAATTATTACAAATCCTTAAGATAGTTTAAAGTTATTGCCTCATAATTCTATTTAAAAATGTATGAAGCTTGAATTAATGGACATATTACAAGTGAGTAGTCTTCCTCAGAAGCATACAATTGGAAGTAAGTGTACCATACATCCTAGTGGAAAACGTCCATCTTGAGCTCTTTCATTCTTAATGATAAAACACATTGAATTTAATATATATTTTACAAATAAGATGCTTTAATGATATACGGCTTTAATAAGCTTGTTTGGCTTAGTTTTGTAGCCTAACTCCTGAGTAAAACATAGAAAACAGGATTAGATCTTATTTATTTGCAAGTCAACAAGGCCTGGAATTTCCTGACTTAAATCCTCCCCACACCAAGTTAAGTGACCAATAGCAGAAATAATATTTTTGAAAGATGAGAAAACTTGACAGAGAAGCAATAATCTGTGCATGGCCAGCACTGAATATAATGTGATACAATTAACATTCTGAAATCCTTGTTTCTACAGACACTGGTTGTTTCCAGAAACCACTCCCAAAATCTATCACCTACCCTGCCATCTGAAATATATTATACTGAAGAAATTAAGTCTTACAAAAATAACTTCCATCTATTTTCAAGCTGTGTTGAATGACAGGAAAAAGAGTCAGCTTGCTCTGCAGGGGAAGTTACTGAAATCCCATAGGCTTCTGAAAAAAGGAGACCCTCTTTTCTCCCATCTCTGCATGCATGGTAAGACTATATTCCTGAAACAAAGATTTCCCACTGTGGCCATGCTTCCTTGCCAACTCTATTCACCTGCCTGCCTTCTTCAGAGCAGGTCTAGATATGTTTATAGAGATCTCTATACAATGCCCAGGGCTGGTAGTGTGAGGAACATCTATTCCACTTGACGTTCTCAGAAGAGTTCCAAAACACATTCAAACCAGTCTTTTTGCCAAGGTGCAAAGGCATCAGCTTTGCAACAGACAAAGAAAGTTAGAAACTAGAAAGTGAACCCACCTTTTACCAATAGAGAAAACACTCACAGTCCTTGTGTGACTTTGCCTAGGACTGAGCTACTATGGCAGTACATACATTGGCAGTGGTCGACTTACTTGGAACGGCAACAACAGAAATGCATGGGGTGGTGTCATCAATACTTTGGTCATCTTCAGATGATAAGCAAAGCCTTTTGTGTGGAGGTTCAGTGCTGTCTTCTGAATCTACTTCATCTGCCTCTGAACACACACACAGGAAACCAATGCTGTTAATAAACTAATATGGGCAGCTTGCTCAACATTTTCCAATTGCTTAAATCCTTGCTGAAAATTAAAACACATTCCAGTACTTCCTGCAACTCCTATGGAAAATATACTGAGAGCTGACAATTTTGTTTAGTCCTTGCTTTCTGAAGCAATGGTACCTGATGGAGAATATTTCCCTTCTAACAAACACTATTGAGCATGAAAATAAACCCATTCTAATTATCCATCCAGACATCTTAAACACTGGCCCTTAATTAAAAGGACCTACTACTTAGTTTATACTAAACAAGCAAGGAGAAGTATCTTCTTCTTGAAAAATGTATTGGTTTATATAAACCCAATGGTTATCATAAACTGTACTATACAAATGATAGATAATTAAAATAATATGATAATGGTCCAAACTGTAGGCATTTAGAAGAAGCCAAAATGAAGGCTTTGGAGAAAAGGCCAGGGGATACAAGGAGAAGCAATTATTAAAAAGAAAAGATAGTGAAGAGTTCTATAAATATTGGGGCAAATGTTTTATAGCAGTGGTTTTAAAACCCCTTTCCTTCAGGCAACCTTTTATACATCCATCTCTCAGCCAAATAATCCAAAACAGGTACTAGAGTACACCCTCAGCTCAAGTGGGACACTTCCAGGTCTGCTGGATTTTGCCACCATTCAGCGCAAACTGCAAACACAAACTAGAATGTGCCAAGCTCTGCAAATGCACATTGCAGGGGGAGTTAAGTAGTAGAGGGCAAGTTGTCTTTGAAAAAAGGATTAATAAGAACATATGTTTGTAGAGCTCTCAAGTTCAACCTCCAGCATCCTCAGTTAAAAGAATACCCAACAGAATGCTTCTCCTGACCTTCATCTACTCAGACACTACAATCAAGTTTTGAGGCCTTCCTCTGATTTCCAGCTCTAGGGGAGACTTGAATGGTGACAACAAGAAGGGTCTTTTCACTGGTGGCCCCCCAGTTATGGACCAAGGTCCCCACTGAGCCCCTCCCCCAGCATCTTTACTATCTTTTTGGTGCCAGGGAAAGATTGTCCTCTATTACATGGCATTTAATTAGTTATTCGGGCCTGCTAATTGTTAGACAGGGTTTTCTTTTAAAGTTACTATATTTTTTTCTGCTTGAAATTTGGCTTCAAATTTTGTATTGCTAACTTGTATGATGTTTACATGGTATATTTTATATTGTTTTTTTAAATTGTGCTGTTGTGAACTGCCCAGAGAACTTCAGCTGCTGGGTGGCACAGAAATTAAACAAACATTATGCTAAAAACTTCAGTCTGAGGGTTGCTGTCAATATATATAATACTGGTTTAGATGGGTAAACAGTATGTTGAATCATCACTGTTTTTTTCTTTGAAAACCCCCTGAAAATCTTCCAAGAAACCTTAAAGACCTTGGAAGACTGTCCTGTCCAAACTAAGGTACCCAAATACCCAAAGAAGTTATAATTTGGAATAATATGGAGAGAGCATACAGTCAAGTAACAGTTGTCTATACCATCCTGAGGGCAGTGAAGAATAAGGTTCCCTTCAGTGTCTTGGGTCAAAGTCACAGAATTCACGGTTTCTACTGTCACTGTGTCAGACTCTTCTTCAACTGTGCTCATACTCAAATCTAAATGAGAACAGATCACAGATTAGCAATATTTATCTAATTTCTATTCTACCTATAGTGACCATATTTGCGGTTGTAGTCTAACCTATCTGCTGTCCCATAAACTAGAAGACTGACTGCATTAGCAGTAAGTTGTGCACAAAAACATGACTGGTAAGTAAAATCACATTTTACGCAGGTTTGATAGGTGAGTTACAGATGCCTCACCATGCATGGGGACCATTAATGCCTTGCATAGGTATGGAGCCACTTCTGCTCAATAGCCATCCCTGTACAGCTTGAAACCCACATACCACACAAGATACTTAGAATATAGGTACATTGGATTAACTTACCTCTGGACTCTGACCACACAAAAAAGAGGAAGGAAAGGAAATTATTTATAAGGAAAAGCAGAGAACGTGAACATAGCAAGCACAACAGTGCACATTTTTTTTGCCTAAAGCAAGAACAACTTTCCCCCTTTTCTAATCATGTGCAAGCCATTTGTAATTGCCACAGGCTAACACGTACGTGGCACCACACAAACCTAGAAGAATGAACAGCACTGTCATAAAACACAGACAATGCATCTCACACATACCCAAAAGCAAGGTAGCTGTATAAATGTGTTCTCAAAATCCACATGGAAGATCCACATCACTGGATGTAGCCACCTACTAGATACCTCAGTTCAGCAACTGCAATGAACAAAGCCCACCAAGCATGAAAAAGAAGTGCCAGCCACCCATCACGGCTTATATACCCTTGCAGAACAGAACTGTGTTCTGTTCAAGTGTTTGGCACACTGGAACCCTCATGCTCAGCCGCAGCAGATCAATATCACATTAACAATGTGGAAAAAAGAAACTAAGGAAGGCAATTAAGAGCAGAACATCCTCTTCTCTAGAACATAAAATACACAGGCTGAATATTGCCAACCCTATTATTATACAACTGCTACAAGGCAACTCAAACTTTGGCACTGCTGTCAAAAGGTGACATGTTGATCAGTAGAGGGCTATCACTTGCCATAGACTCTATGCATCTTGATGTCTCCTCTGAATGGCCATGCTTAGTTTTCTTCTAATGTTGCTATGGTGTTAAGCTGCCACTTAATATAGAGCACCTCAGTGCTGCAAAAACATCAACAAAAATTACAAGTACTTTCTTTTTTCCAACTAACCCACTTACCTATGCATATCTTTGATAGTCATTTTTATTTCCCCTACCACTCCTGAAAGAACAAATGTTTGTGGGGTTTCCCTGCCTGATCACACTCAGACTTTTCTTGCTATAAACACATTTGACTAGCTTGTGCCTGTGTAAGCAGAGCCATCCATCTTACCAGGATCAAGATTTAGCAGATTATTTCTACAGTACCTTTACGTCACAATATACTTTCCTAGTTCTTAAGACAACAGCTTTAATTGTACTGTAGAATCTCAAATTGTATATAAAGTTTTCGATACATTAATTTAATTCAGATATAGGCTATCTGCTCTAATTACATGGGCATCCACAAACTACAGAATTTTAAAAGGTAAACGTAGCAATTGGGCCATTCAGATTGTTTCTGGTGTTTGCATGGAATTGTAAACATGGGAAATATGTATCAAGCAGCTTAAACGTTAATTTAAATTAAATATTTGAAACTGGTAGGTCAGTATGTACACTGTGGGGGGTCAAGTTAAAAAACATTATTTTAATAATTTATTGCTTCTTGTCCCATCACTGGGCCTTGAAGCTAAAACTAGCACACATAAGAATTCTGACACTGGCGTGGAGAGCCATTGTGGTATAATGGTTAAGAGTGTGAGACTGGGACTTTGGCAATCTGGGTTCTAGTCTCCACTCAGTTAACTGGATGACTTTGTGCCAGTCACAGACTCAGCCTAACCTATCTATCTAAAGTTTTTATATACTTTTCTTCAGGAAAGCTCACAGGGTGGCTGTTGTGGGGATAAGACAGAGCAAGAGGAGAATAATGATGTAAGCTGCTTTGAGTTCTTTGTAAGAAAAACGGTGGGATAAAAATCAAATAAATAAAAAAGGCATTAATCAGACCCACAGCACCAGAGCTTCATAAAGGTAGTTATCATGCAACTTCAAAACATGCCTTGCCACCAGAATCCTCTGACTGCAGGGGCACAAAGCATCTTTTGGGATTTTTGTTTGGATTATTATTGTAAGTATGATCTCAAAGTCCAGGGTTATTACTTTAACTCCTGTGTTATCTATCCTTTCTGTTTACAATTTAATTTGCACACATATCCTGGAGAGATTATCCAATGGGTATCATCCATTTCTCACACGTTAACACCCAGGGCCAACTCAGCCACTATCTATGATGCCATGATCCAAGCGCTTTTCACCATGCTGGAAGCAGGAGACTTCAAATTCTTAAAGATTGTATTTTTGTAACATGCTAAGCCACCCTGAGAATAAGCTATGCAATGTGATTTGTTCATGGAACATCTGGTAGTGTGCTTGAAAAATTATTGCGTTCAAGCAGCTGGTTCTTCCACTCCTTCTTCTCAGCCCTCCAGCTGGTATTCCAGTGTATTTCACTGATAAACCTGTTTTGCCCACTGCTTTCTGTTCCAAATTGCTACTGCTTTTCATTTTCTGACATATTTTGAAGCTTCAAAATGCATAAATGGTTCATTTTGCAGCCATGAACACTGTGTAATTGTGTATGTATGCTTTAATTATACTAATTATGGTCAGTTTTTCACAAGTGTGTGGGTACATTTTTGCAGCTGTCCAATAGGTGTAGTCTTGTCTGATCAGTTGCCTTGTGTGTTTCTTTTGTCAATGGGAACTAAAATGGAGTAGGTAACATGCATGGAAACTGACTAGACTACACATTTGCAAATTTGTGCACAGTTGCCTGTCAGTTCAATAGTATCAATAAAGGGGAAAAAGTGGTGAAAATAGGTACACCAAAAGGGAGGCTATCACCCCCTTAGCAATGCAAGCCTCTGGATTTTACCTCCTACAACTCTTTTTGTGCCTCTTTCTAGGAGCACTGACTGCTGGAGTTACTGCAATTTCCTGACAGTTGTAATAATCACCAACTCAGAAAAGGCAGGTAGAAGTGAAAGGGGCACCATAGTAAGTACCTCTAGCACTGGTACTGTTTCTCCATCCCATTTTGCCACTATGTAAAGTTTTTTATGTTTTAAACTGGCAGGAATATTTTCCGTTTTGGAAATATTTGGAGTATGTATACCTGTAGTAACTGCTCAGGTATTTCAGTGTCAGCCCATTTCCTGTCCATTTACTCCCCAGCCATTATATTTGCATATTTCTGTATTATTATTATTTAAAAGTGCCAGGGAACTGCAGAACCACTTGAGTTACTGATCAAGTTAATATCTTACTTTTCTGGAATGACTTAAGACTCAGGAAGGTGTTGAAAAGGTGGAAGATGCTGAGAAGTATCAAAATCAGGACTGCATTGCTCAAGGGGTGATACTTTTGATCCCCACTTTTGATGACGTACTTTGGCCACATTTTCCCTTTCTCCAATACTTTTTAACTGACAGACAGGTATGCAAATAACCTGCTAATAAACTGTACCTTCTGAGGACTGAAACAGAAAAAGGACTGAATAAGACTATACATTTGAGAGCTGTGAGTGCACTCCTGCACTATTGCAAAAATGTAGAATTAAAAAAAGCAATAAACACAATTGTGCAATTTTCTGTGGATGAAAAGAAAAAAATAACAGTGCATCAATGATGATAATTTCAAAATATCACTTGAGCATCATTTTAGGAGCTGTTACAGGTACTGGCATAGGTGAAAACAACATGGGATTTTGCTGTTTTTTTTCCCAATGGCTCTCTAATCAATTGCCAGGTATGAATTGAAGTTTTGCTCCATAATTATTTGTAAAAAACATTGGAGCATGTTCTGGAGCATACTAAGCTTGTATAGGAATTTTCTGCACTATAAAATTCTTGAGATAATCCTATTGTCATCATAGCTATAGTTATTTATTATCAGGGCCTTTGCTAAAACATGTAGGAGGATCTAGAATACATCCTGTGTAACTGCAAGAGCTCACTACACATTTTGAAAAAACATCTGTTATAATCAATGTTAACTCTTTCATTAATGGATTATTCAGAAGATTTTTAATCATACTTTTTTCCTTCATGAGCCAAGTTAGCTCACCCTTGTACGAATGTCTGATTGATTTGACTTTGTGAGAAACCCCAATTTAGGACCATGGCAATTTGGGAAGGAGGATGTAGACTTTCCCCCTACTGATTTCATCCTCCTTTCTAGCATTAACAATCAGCACCTACATGTTTGCAATAAAAGACCTCATCTGAAAAAAGAGGAAAACTGGCTGATATTGAACATAAACTGGGAGTGCACTGTTGTTTCTTGATATGAGGAAGAAACATACAGACTAGCCTCAGTTAAGATCTCTGCACTGGCAATTAAAGAGAACCTCCAAAGGAGAACTATTAAGTAGGCAATGATCAATGTTGGGTGGCACAGAAATGTGATCAATGCAATGAAACAAGATAACAACATGAAAGATGAAACAAGCCAAGGTGTTTATTAATGCTGCTTGATAGTTTTAACACAGGTGCTGATCATTAATTATTTCCCTCTGAGGACTATTTATGGTTGACTCCTGATTGGTTTGGGCTCAGTTTATACGTGGCACTGCCACATCTGTTTATTTGTGACTGAAGCTAGCATACGAAGAGCTAATGTGCTAAGGGAATGATATATATATATTTAAAAATCATATATAAATAAAAAAATCAGGTTTTAAAAACTGTTCATAAAATTTTTATTTCAAATGTATAAACTGAATATGCAATTGCTAGTCGTTTATCATTGTTTGAAGTCACACATCAAACACATCACTAAAGTATCAGTTAATTGAAAGAAAAACAATAAGTAGTTTAAAAAACCATAGCCCAATGTGACTTTGCATTTGAGTGGGCTCAGACCCAAAAATGTTTTTGCCATAATAGATTTCCTAAGACTTCAGGGTTCCACAGGACTCTCTGTTAGTGCTGATGGCTTATTTTGCAAGTTCAGCATTAAGCAGTTGGCAGTTTCAACAATATTAGGTATTATATTTAAATAACCTACTCTGTTGAAGTAGCAATGAAAGCATGTATTTTGCAAGATATTAAATTGGCAAGAATTTTTGGTTTTACAGCACTATGTAGCAATTATGGGTACAACAATCCAACATAGTTTTGAAGATATGGTACAGATTAGAGTTTTGAAAATGTAACTTTTACTTACTTACCAATGATTAAGTAATGTACAGTGCAGCTGTTGAGCAAAGGTGAGCAACTTCTTGCTCTCCAGATATTGTTGGATTGCAGTTCTCATCAACACTAGCCATCATAGCCAATGGTGAGACATGATGGGAGTTGAGAGCCAGCAAGATCTAGAGGGCTACCAGTTGCCCACTCATGTTCTAGAGCAAGAAGGCCATAGTACACTGTGGACATTTGGATGCAATGCAATGGAGACAATTTATGCACTGTATGTAAGAGAACTAAATAAATTTACTTTATATTAAAATATCGGTGCTACTTTTTGGCTATAGAAGTTACTCACACCAGCTTACAAAATAATCATGCAAACAAAACAGGAAGCAGTAACAAGAGAAAAAAAGCCAGTGTCAATATTAAAACAGTCATACTCAGGAAAGAATTAATTCAACATTAAAATCCTACTGAAACATATAACATATAAGAGTCAAGATGAACGGGTCTAGGCAGATTTCAGAGAAGAGAATAAAGGGCTGGCACTGCTCGCAGTACAACCTATCCCACATATCATCCAGGGAAGCTTATGGCTAAAGATGTGGGATTAAAAAAACCCAAAACTAATAAATAAATAAATATCCATCAGCTTAAATCAGAAAATGATAGGATACAAAGCAGAACCTCTTCTGATAATATTAACTGAGAGCCAATGTGGTACAGTGATTAAGAGTGATTCCAGAGGTGTTTGTTCTCATCCCCACTCAACCAGCAAGTTCAATGGGTGACTTTGGGCCAGTCACAGCCTCACATGTTGTTGTGAGGATAAAGTGGCAAGGAGGAGAACCTTGTAAGTCACCTTGGATTCCTTACAAGAGAGATATAAATGTAATGTAAACTAATAACAAATGGTTAGCAGAATCATGTGGCAGTGAGTTGTCCTTTTTCTTAGGACCAAACTGCTTTACAGCTTTAAATGAAATGAAACTTGGGGTTAGGAACAGATTGGAAGACAATGCAATCAAACAAACTGTGCTCTGAGTAACAGGGTGCTTGGCAATAGCCAGGTAGTGCATTCTGCATTGGCTTCAGCTTCTAAACTCTCTTCAACAGCAGTTCTACATGCAGCATGCCATTGAAGTTCAACCAAAATGTGACAAAAGCAGATAGAAGTGGCCAGATCTACATTCACATATCACTACAAGTTTCTATATGCAGCATCACAATCTATTTCTATATCTGCGGCATCACAAAACCACATCCAGAAGAACGGCAAAACTGTTCCCTCAGATTGTCTGCTACCCACCCTGAGTATCATCAGTATATTAGCAAGACTGAAGATCGTTCATATGATAAAGTAACCTCACAACTCAAGCTACGATAAATCAGCCATTAGGGTATCAGTGGACTTTGTTCCTATCAGAAATCCAGGGCAAATAGATCCAGGGCAAGTAGAAGGACCCTATACAATTTTATTATTTTTTAATCGTTCATTCAGAGATTAATAACTGTCATGAATTTGTAAATCTAATCTAACAATTTTAAGAGGAGGTAAAATTCTGAAGGTGAAGCACTCATTTCTCAGGGAAGGAGTCCGAATTGTGACTAGTAGTTTATTGGGGGGTTGAGGAAAGAAGATGTGCAATTCAGGGGTGCAAAATATGGAGGCCCTGGTAGCTCTTTTTTGGTAGTGGTAGGTGCTGGCACCATTATCTAGTATTTCAAGGGTGCAACAGGAGAAAAGGAAGAGAAAAACGGTCTGGCACTGCTATAGTCTTCTATTCATAGCCTGTTCCTGAGGTGTGAAAGAAGCAAGTGTAGGAGATACCAGAATGACTAGAAGCACAGGGAGCATGGGGAATATGGAATTTAACACTATATACTTTGAAAAAGCAGTATGTGTGTATGGGGGATACAGAAGAAAAGGGGGAGGAAAAGAATAACAGGCAGGGTTGCCTTTTGGTAGCTGATGCGATGAAGCTGCCAATTATCGCACCCCTTCTCAGGCACATTGCTTTTCCACCTCCTAAAATATTATACTGCATCTGTTTTCTCCATTCTCGCCCACCCCTTCCAATTATTCTGGCGTCTTCTGCACTGCTTCATTATATCCCTGTAGTGTCCCACGAACAGACCCAGCACACATTTCACGGAGGCAAGAGAAGATGTCAGCACCGCTGAAGGTGGGCGGGGAGGAAGAGATGAGATGCGACTAAACAATGACAGGACGGGGAAATGGGGACAAGCATCATATATAAAAGGGCGATATTAAACGACGCCTTCCCCCCGCCCTTGGGTCCCTATCCGAGACTGGGCGCCACTGCCCAGCAAGGAAGGAGGCCTTCTCCCGGCCTGCTAAGAGAGGGTCGCTGAGGGGGGGGGGGAGAGCGATAGAAGAGGGCGCCCGGCGCTCGACCGACATCTGCGACACCCCTGTTAGTGCCGGTGCTCCCGCCGTTCTGCCGCGTAGGCCGCGCGACCCCCTAGGCCGCCTCTCTCCCCCTGGAGCAGCTCCTCGGGCGCCGCGAAGGCGCTCCACTCCGCGACCAGCCAGGCCCGGCCGCAACCAAGCCAACCGTCGCGCGCACCACTTACTTCCTGTTTTGGGTCCGGGCACTTGAGAAACCAGGATGGAGGCTCCGAAATACCAGGATGGAAGCGCCCGCCTGAGCAGCCGCAGCAGTAGCAGAGTGGAGGGAGGCAGCGAGGGGGCGGGGACAGAGCGCCCGGAGGAGGAGGAGGAGGAGGAGACGGGCGCTCCAGCCAGAGAGCGGCGAGTGGCGGCCTCCGAGGCTCCGCCCGTCACTTCCGCCCGGGGAACTCCGCTGGTGGCGCCACAAAGGTCACGGGAGAATAAGCGCTCAGGGAGTGCGTGAGATAGGTCGTAGCTCGCTTTTCCCCCTTGCTGGCCGTCCCCGCTGGCTCACGCGGCCCTCGCTCAGTGTTTGCTGGGCGGGGAGGGAGGAAAGAGGACGTTAGTCGCCGACAAAATGGAGGATTGAGGAGTGGCGATTGCTTCTTCCCGCTAAAAGCTAAGGGAGAAGAGCGCTTCTGTGCTTTTGTCCGAGAATGTAATACTCTGCATCCCTTTTTGAGAGAGATTGCCCCTCTTTCTTATCCCTCTCCCCACACACTTCTGGTCGGCTTAGGAGAGGGGCAGTTTCAGTACCTTCGGCTTTTTGGGATGCTGGGGTGAGGAAAGTAGAATACCGAGGCCCTTTTATGCTCTTAGGGAGGCATTAAAAGAACAATGATACCGAATGACTTGTGGAAGAAGGTGCCTATTCCTTTCGAATGTCCACAGTATTTGTATTGGGTTTGCTGAAATGCCTGAGAACAATCAGAAGAGAAAGATGACCTGGCTATTTCTTTTTTTAAAAACAATACGAAGATTAGTGTGGCATTTGAGGCTTAAGGCTGCATTCATGTATGCACTTACATATATGTAAGCCTGCATGAAGACAGTGGGACTTGGTTCTGAGCGAGCATGAATAGTATTGCATTGTAATACTTAAATCTGGAAGTAAATGCAGTTGAACTAATTTATTATTTTTGAATATATTTGCATATCAGTGGATACAAATACTTCCACTTGCTTGTCAACATTAGGGTCCAAAGACCATGAGATACAAGAGCTAACTCTTGGGCTACCACTGTGAAATTAGTGGCTGTTGTTTAGAGACTGTGCCCAGCAATGGCCATCAATGCATATCAATTTGGAAGTATCTTCCATTGAGGGCAATGCGGTGTAATCCCAAGTAAGCGGCCATAGAATTATAGCCTAAAGAGCTGCCCTTCGTTGTCAAGACACATAAATGCACTCCCTTGATAGTACCATTGAGGAACTGAAGTTCTGTACTCTTCTGGATGTTATCTTCAATACTGTGAGAGGTGGAGGAGAAAAAAGATGTAGAAGCCATTGTGGAATTCTTTCACTTTTGTCTTCCCACATAACATTATGTGCTTCTAAAAGAAAAAAGCAAGCATTTCCCTATTTTGCAGCCTAGTGAAGTTGAAGGTTGCTGTTATGCAATGTTTAATCTCTTTTTAGTTTGGAGTTTAACTAAACATCCATGCAAAAGAAAATGTTTTATTTATTCATCCGTAGCTGGTGCCTAAATAAAGCCATTCATATATTGAAAACATTGTTTGATCCTCAGTTCATTGTGTTAATAGGAGATGGACTTTTCAGTACTGGATCTTTTCAGTATTGTAAATCAGTCTTTTAGATGCCAAAATGGTTTGTAGAAAGTTCAATAAGCAGGGAAATAATTTTAAGGAATATCAGTAAAGAGTATTTTAAAACTAAGTTTATCTATCATATATCCCCCTTCCCCATAAAACCAACAACTGGGTATTGCCAAATGAAACCATGTTAAGCATTAGTGTTATTACACTTCCATCAGTTAGACATACCTTTACTACAAAGATGTAACATTCAGTGAAGACAAAACAAATGCTTTTGCAAAACAAGTCATTGATTAAGATTCATCCATGCTTCTGGCACAGATGTAAAACCTTTTCCATTGATTAGCCAGAATAGGATAATTACTTTCTCATCCTATTTATATTTAAGAATATCATACTTATTTGCAGGTTATACATATTTATAAACATGGGTTGTTTGTCAATATAATTGCTTAGCCTTGATCAGTACTTCTAATAGCAAAGGGATCTCTTAAGTTATAAGGGGAACTCTGAAGAGTTTAACAAATGTTACATTTGCAAGTATTGCCATTCAAATAAGGCAAGCAAATTTATTATGTTTATTTTGTCTTTCTGTGAGGTTACAGTGTATCTCCCTAGGCCTTTGACCTTGTTTTGTCAAAGGCCTGTGTAATAGTTGCTTAGTGATGTTCTGAAGTGATGTTCTTTGCATATTGTTAGATTGGGGCTATATTAGGTAAATTCACTTGATTGGCTGGAAAGTTTAAGTAGGTGGAAAGGAGTGCTGGGAAATGATACAGATGACCTAGATAAATTGACCAAGCAGCTAGAAGTACAACAGCAGGAACTTTGGTGTTAGTAGATGTCTCCCCAGTTGCTGGAATATATTTCACTGGGGTGGAAGTTTAGGATATTTGGACTGAGGTACAGGACTTAATTAATAGACCATTTCTCCTGCACTCTTAAGAATTTTCACTAGGAATGCTACCCAATGAGACTGCCTGTAACTTCTGAACTCAGAGGTTTATGGGCATCTTGGACCCTGTAAAGCAAGTAAACAGCTAATTATGGCCGTCTTACTGCAGTGCTTCAGAATAGAGGGAAGGAAGTTGAGGTGCTATCAGGGTACATCATATTTTGCTGGTGCTGGTCTCATCCTTACTCAGCCCTATAAAACTCATCCTAACCCCCTTCTCTGAGGTTGCTCTTACGACCTATGAGATACAGCCAGTGTGGAAATCTGAACGACCCTTTAGCCCCTAGAAGCTTCCAGGGGGCTATAGGATAGCTTTGTTCACAGTCTGTTGAAATATAAGCATTTCTAGAAATAAGAAACCCCATGTATGGGATTGATAAGCAAAAGCATAGTTTCCCCAGAGGGGGTGGCAGTGTTGGAGAGGGAAAATCTCCCACATCAGTCATAATATATATGGTCAAACCCTTTACTCTATAATTTTGTGGGAATCTAATTTCAACGGCTGTGTCACATTTATGAATTTTATGTTTTTTCCCTACAATGGGTATGCTATAGTAGTAAAAAACCATATTCTGACTATTTTATTCAGTTTGTCTAAAAATATGGTTAGTTTTACTGCATGTAATACTGTTTCCCTTGAGAGCAGAAGTCATTATGCTGGACCCTAGAATGGTCCATGTTATCTTTTAATTCTATTTTATTATGATAAAGGATTCCTAGAACTGTGTTTTTGTGGTAAAACATTTATTACTGCAATAGAATTAGTGAAGAGTGAACTTTATGGATGTCATAGGATACTGTTTGTCCAGCAGGAAAACAATGATCATGTGCTGTGAATACAACCTAGTGCTGTACAGGTATCTTAACCTTCCCTGTGTCCATCCACACTCATTTTCTTCCAGTTTTTCCATGTGTTAATACTTGACTGCATTTACATTAATCAGGCTAATGTAACAACCAATTCGACTTTTTAAAAAGTATTTTATTCATATATAAACAAATGTAGAGCTATAGAACATGCCTGTATATGATTACTCAGAAATAAGTCTCACATTGTTCATTGAAGCTTTCTTTCAGGTCAGTGTGTATTGGCTCTTGTCTTTAGTTAATTTATTGTTCATTTAACTGAAATATATAAGATGAATCAAGTCGAGTTCCCTTAATCATAGATGAGCCCTAGTAAATATTTCTAAGGAGAGAGGAAATGTGTGTTCCTAAAATGTCAGGGATCTGTATTACGGAAAATGTGATTGTCCACTGCTCCTTGGCAGTTTTCCAATGTGTTGGGGGTGGGTGGGTGGGGAGGGAGACTTCCTTTCCCACTGTACATATTTACCAAGAAAACACTACTGTGACCTTGCTGTCATGGAAAGTGTGAAATGGCTCCAGAAACAAAATACTAAACTCATTACAAAGTATTGGTGTGAATGTCTGGAGGTAAAATAGTAAGCAAGTACAGTATGTGGGACTGCAAAATGTGTTTACTCTTTACATATGTCAGCAGTTAAGTCTAGGCATGTCATCTTGCAATTTCTTTGCTTTGGGGTGTAGGAATCCATCTGTAAATACTACCAAGTTCTTCTCTTAAGTTGGTGCCATTGTATAAGTCATTTTATGCTGTTTTTTTGTCATCTTTTGAGAAAATATGTACAGTTTTGCTAAGCAGAACATATTATGTACCAGGTTTTGTTATTTGCAAGGCCACTTTTAAAATTTAGCGAGATTGCATGCTTGTGTATTTAATAGCGGTGGAGAATCTGGACTGATCCTTTATTGTGGAGTTTTGGTGGGTTTCTCCTTTCTCTGCTCTGTTGTGATAACCTTTAATTATAAGCAAACAAAGATTAACTAATTGATTCTATTAAACTGAACTGTTTCTATTGTTGAATAGTACCCTCTTGATCATTTAATTGTGTGACCCCCACCCATTTTACATGTAATATTCTGATCAATATGAAAGCTGTTTATTTTCTGTTACTGTATATTCTAGTGCAAGAACTACAGTGTCCTCTGGATTCTAGAGGGGTTATTTTAGAAAAATATCTCTGAGGTACTGATTATGTAGCGTGTGGGCACTGCTGGAGATCTCTCACATTATTTATGACAATGTCTGCTGTAAATTAGTCAAAGTATCTTGACTAGCTAGCTATCTAGCAATGATTAGTTATTGAAATTGCAAAAAGCAGGAAGTTTTACCACAAGTGAGGGAACAGTAATGGAAAAGGTGGCCTGAGCCTCCTTTATTTTATTGAAAGCAAATGGACAATTTTGCTTTCACTGTGCATATGGCCAATTGTTTTATGTTTCTGGCCTTTACTTTTTTTATTATGATATACTCTCTGAATAGCCAAATAGCTATGCTGCTTTCATAAACTGTACATTGCAGTGACATCAGCCCAAATCAAATGCG